AAGTAGCCACCCAACCTATACCCCAAATCCCTGTTACACACTTTTTGATGACGGATATCATATTACACACGTAACCTTTTAAAATTATGTCTAGTACACACTACTTTTTTTCTTGACCAATTTTTCAGAATGTGTAATATCACACACCAATAACATTGTGACACGTGTTAATAATTTTTTTTTTTAAAATAAAATACTTAAATTTCTCTTGACCAGTTTCTCTTTCCTGTTGTCTTTATCTTTCACAAGAAAACTAGAGGCACCACCATACTTTCATTCTTCTCTTTCTTTGAAGACCCACTTTCTTCATCATTTTTATTCTTCTTTACTACTATTTCCCCTACTCTAAAATTTTATCACCATTTTTTGGTTTCTAGATTTTGTTTGCTATGGAAACACCATTTTTACCGAAGGGTGTTGCCACTGTAATAGTGGCCGGAAAATGGAGGTCGCCATCATTTGCATTTTTTAAACAAACCAGACCAGACCTGAACGAAGAACCACCAACTTGCCGGAAAGATCTGAGAGCTCTACCCAGCCGGAGAAGATTGACCTTATCGGTCATGATCTAACAGTGAATGTAACGACCTGGAGGTCTCTGTATTGCTTGAGGTCGTCACTGACGTTACAAGTTAAGGACGAGATCTACTTAAAGGAGATGAAAGGGGGAGGAGATGGCCGATGGGAGGCGTGGGAGAGAAAAGAGAGCTGTGGTTGTCGCCAGATTCCCAGGACGGTAAGGGCTCCAAATGGGGAAGAAGGGCCTCAACATTTTTTTCTTATCTTTTAACTAATAATTTAAGAAAATTAAGGAGAAAAAAAAAAGATTTAGACACGTGTGCTTATATAAGTATTTGGACAGATAATCAATAGGTTTCACGCGCTCAGGTTTTTTTGTTAAACACACGCATGCCATTTGTCATAAGTAGTGTGTACTAGACATAATTTTGAAAGGTTAGATGTGTAATATGATATTCGTCCTCAAAAAGTGTGTAACAGACATTTGGGGTATAGGTTGGATGACTACTTATGTATTTTGCCTTTTGTAAATGTATATTTTAGTGAAAAGTAGTAAGATTAAAGAATTCACATTTCTTTAAAATTCTTTAGCTAATTATTTATATATGTAAATATAATATAATATAAAAAATTTGTTAATAAAAGTTTTTTAGTTGATTATCTATAAATGTAAATAAAATAGTTGTTATGGTTTCGACCTTTCATATTCCGTATTTTTGGACAACCTTTCATCATAATCCATATTTATAAAGAATAAAAAATTCTTACAATTGCAATGGCTCTATCCGCGAGTTTCTTACCTTATCCTCTAGCCATTCAAATTGCTTCTTCAATTCTCGCTTTCGTTAAGAATATATTGAGTTAGGCTTCTGTATTGGCTATGTTTCAACGAAACTTATACTGATTTTTATTTTGGGAATTACTTTGTTTTTTACTATTTTACAATTGATATTCTTGAAAAGAAAATTAACTAATTCAATTTAGGTCCCGATATATGTGCTAACAGAAAGTGCCAACATTAATTGTTAAAATAAGATTATGAGAATGATATTGGAAACAAATTAATTATACTACTAGGCATTAGCTGTGTTGCAAGATATATGAAATCAAATTAAATGAGTATCAAATTCGATGAGTTACTCAAGTTTAACGAGCAATTTTGTGAGGTTGGACATGTCTTTTGAAAAGCATAAGAAATGCATATTGCATACATGTGTATTCTATGATTATGAAAATTTTGTGCTAGATATTATACATTAAAATCTAAAAAATGAGATTTAAATATTTGAGAGAGAACAATCAACCACGAGAAATTATTTATTTCAAAACTTATGAAAAATATACAAACAATAAAGTTGGTCAAAGAATACCACCTCGGCATCACCAATTGGAGGTCTTAGAGACTGACCATTTAAACTTTTACATATTTAACTTCTTTTTTTTTAAACTTTTGTGATATTTTTTTTATATATCATTCTTGAATTGGAGTTTAATATTTTTAAAAATTTAGATGATATGAAGTACATATGTAATGAAAATATGACTTTAGTGATATTTTTTATCATCGCGCTTGGATAAATTCACTAGTTTATTATATTTTCAAGTATATAATGCTAGCATTCATAACCCTATTGAGGAGTAAAGGAGAGTTACAATAAAAATTTATCCACGCCCGAGTTTATGTCAATTGAATGATTGCACGGTTTGCCGCTGCATATACATTGCTATGACTTAAACTTAATTAATCAATATTTCTACCTCATTTTTATATTTAACTATAATAAATTGACGTTGTAAAATTTACTCCACCGGATGTTTACTTTAATCCAATAATTAAATGACATGTATCTTTATATACATTGTTATGACTTAATCATAGTTAATTTACATGATTTTTACCTTACTTTCATATTTTTAACCATATAAATTATGCGATTTAATATAAATACCGAGTGCGAATAAATTTTCCGCAACTTGGTATGACTGATTCACTTCCTATAAGATAAATAAATAATTTTTCTAAAAATTAAAATCTGGATTAGAAAACAACACTAAAGCAATGTCCAGCAAAAGTCAATATATAGGACAAAAATATCCCACACCGTTAATAAATCAGCTTTTATTCTCTTTATATTGAATCCACAAGCACGTTGGTACAACTTGACTGCAAGACGACGTGAATGGGCTTGGGCCTGCTCTTTGAGCGGGTCAGGACCCAGGAAAGTCCCCGGGTCGTTTCTGCAGAGATGCAGGGTCGGAAACGGGTTAGCTTCACGGGCTTAGGAGTTCAATCTTACACTTGTGAGATGGGCAGAGACGAGGTGGAGCCTTATGGACTCCTACCGGAAGCGTTATTGGCCGATGATTACAGTTATTCACGTGGTTCAGTCTATAAACTGGACTAACTGAACGGGGCTTATGTTCTTGCAGTCATCCTTTTTTAGAAAAATAAAAATAGTAGCAAATTGTGCTAAATTTTTTTTGAACTTTTAAGGGTGTTTTTGTTCAAATTTTATTTTTACATATTAAAAGTGGCTAAATTTCAATTACTTTTGAAACTGTAGCGAATTTTCAACTAGCAGTTGTAAATCAGGGTATTTCTGATTTTGTTCTCTTTTTTGTTTTGCACCTTTTGTTTCCGAAATTAAATCTTATTAAGACGTGTGACATGTCGTATGTACATATGCACATTCACTATATAAATTTTATTTGTTACAATATTAATGATTTTTTACACATTAATTTATATACCGTATTAAAAATATTAAATTCAAATGAACTTGGTGTATATAAGATTGCAACCGCATCTATCTATGTATGTACATGTCAGATACATACATATCTATCATATATTAGTCTAACAATCATGATAACAAGCACAAAGGCGAAGTGCTTGACCAGGAATTTTTTGACAATAAGCCACAGGGTTAAGTCCACTATAATCATTTAAGCATTGTTTTGTACAACATTCTGCATTGCAGTATTTAGTGCTACAATTGAGCCAAACACTGATAATTTGATATAATAATTTGTGACCGTCTACTTATCAATCTTACTAGCTGCTACCTTACCTGGGAAGAAAACATTATTATAACTTAATATTGGACATTAGTTATTTAATTATGCAGCGATTATTTTTTCTTATGCGTCCAATCAGGCATTATATTATGATCAGCCAACTGACCCAATAGAGGTAACTATGAGGGTGTTTGGCTAAGCTTATAAACGGGTCAAACCGGCTTATAAGTACATTTTGATTTATCTACGTGTTTAGTAAATATCTAAAATGCTTATAAGTCAAGTGCTTATAAGCTAAAATCAGTCATAAGCCATAAGTCATAAGTCATAAGTTGGTCACCCCCAACTTATGGTTTTTCAGCTTATAAGCACTTCTAGTTTGACCAAGGCTTTTACCAATTTATCCTTAATAATATTTTTAATTCACAAAATATTTTTCCCAAAATAAATTTTGTATATATATTATATTACACAAATTTTACATTTTTTCTGCTACCGAATATAAATAGTTTCTGACGCCGGCTAAAAGTGAAAAAAAAAACATTTGTTCCTTAAAACATAGAAGCTAACAATAACCATTTGCTAAATCTTGTGATTATGATATATAAGAAAAATGAGGAAGAAATTAAATGGCCATACAGAATAAATAAGAAATGTATATTACCTGATCCAAAAATGAGAAATAGAAAAAACAAAAGAGTTGGTGAGATGAGGGACATCTTCCTTTGAGTACCAAAATCTTTTCAACCGGAAAACTCAAGGCAGGCAGGACTATAGGAGAGTGCACCTTAATTTTAAGTATTTATTTTAAGTACTCCACGGATTTATAGACTTTAGGGATTTTGTTGACTTAATTCCCTATTTATTTTAAGTATTTATTATTAATTAAGTCATCGTCTAGATCAATAATTATAAAGAATTTTTTTAGAAAACTAATATTTACTTTATAAAAACTATTCATTTCGAGCAGAGTTCACATAAAATGTGGCAAAACAATTCCTATTTTTAATCAATTTTTTGGGCCGTCGAACAATGTTATTTCTTTTGGTTTCTCACTTGGTATTCGGTATTGATTAAATCCGAATTCGCATAGGGAAGTCCCATATTAGGGATAAAGCGTTTTCTAGCAAAGGAGAGTTCATACCCACGACTCGAACCTCAAACCTGTGATTAAGAATAAAAAAGTACTTACCACTCCATAAAATCAATGTTGAAGTGATAATGTTTGTATTATTAGGCTGAATCTAAGGATTACTGGAGATTTCTTAAGATTTCAGTTTTCAATATTAAAGATGATTAAGAATTAATGACACTCCTAAACGATAATGAGTGCAGTGCTAATTTGCATTTCTCTAAAAATAGAGTTGCCACTTTCCACTTAATATTCACGTACTCTCAATATAAAAGTAATTCAATTACAAAAATGTAAAAAAGAGAAAATAGAGACAAGAGGGACAATGACATCTAGATCAACAATAATAATTAAATATAAGCGATATAATTTGGTTTATCATATTTCATATCCCTAATTAACAATCATGGTAACAATTACATAAACGATATCCAGGAATTAACTCGCAAATTGCATATGGATTTTGTGACTTAAAGTTGTCATAACAATTCTGTTCACAACATTGTGTGTCGCAAAGCTTGCCACAGAGGCCCAAACCAGTCATGCACTTCTCATTTGGGATTGCGTCATTGCTCGCTAGCACCATTGAACCTATTAGAAAAATAAATAGTAAATATATATCAAAATAGGCATGACACGAAAAAATTTATATACATAAAAGATATTGTATAAGTACAAGATTCCTCGATAGGGCCGTCTAAGGGTAGGGTATTATCCATATCCGTAGCGATCCGTACCGGTACCCAGTGGCGAAGCCAGGAATTTACTCAAGGGTGTTCAAACTTGAAAGAAGTGAAAAAAATCTCCGAGAAAGAGTGTTCAATTTGTGTTATATACCTTTAAAATCTAATATTTTACCTATACATGCAGTGTAATTTTCCGACGAAGGGTGGTCAGTTGACCACCCTTTACAACATATTGCTTCGCCCATGCCGGTACCGATACCGGATCGTGTCACTCCAATTTGGGATAGGTGTGAGGGATTTGTGTGAAGGGTAAAGGTAAGGGTGATGGTAGGGTACCCGAAAAAATACCCTTAGTACCGATACGTTAAGTACCCTTAAGGTACCATACCGGTACCCAACATTTTTTTATTTATTCAAATCTAGCCCTTTTTGTACTGTTAGTCGCTTTTAAACTCTAGTCGTTGGTAATGGCAACAAATGGCTATTTTTGCCTCCCTAGCCGTTGGAGACTACCATTTTATTCAGAGATCGGATTAAAGCGAAATGAAGAAACTTTAGCCTTTCAGAAATAATTCAAGAAGACGACCATACATTTAATGAAATACTATTTACCGGAGATGGCGGAGACGCAGACGAACAAGTGCTATCAATTCCAACCGAAGAACCACAAAAAATTATTGAACAATTATGTAAATCGTTCAAAAGAAATATATAATTTTATTTTTACAAGTGTTTGAAATATAAATAAATATTTGTAACTTGTATTAGAAATCTAATGTTTACATTGAATATAATAAAATAAAAGGCACTTCATAGCTTTGAATTTTTTTCATTGTTTGTATTTAAATATAGTTTTTTAATTTTTAATTTAAAATTAACCCTAAGTACCGGTACCATATCTTTAACTTGTGCCCTTAAATCCCCTTAAGAAAAGTACCCCTTCCCTTACCGTACCTTCCTCGTATCCTTAACCCTTAAGAACCCAGTACCTTCCCCTTAGACAGTCTTATTATTCCTAGGGTGTCTAATCTTATAGTTATCTTACTAATTACTATTATTATATCAAGCGATTATCAGAGCTGAGTGAGTATTCTGAGACGTTAATGAAAAATCAGGCTTAGAATTAATTAATGTCGAAAGATAAATATATCATACCTGATGCAACAATGAGGAGGAGAAACATGCATAAAGTGGTTGAGGAATTGGCCATTTGCCTATGAGGGAAATGTGTCAAATTAATCTTTTGAATTGGAATACCAAAGACTGTTGCAAATTATTTATCTTGTTAGGGGCATAAATAGAGTGCACAATCTATAAAGTTTGAATTAGTAAAAAAATTCCTGAATTGGATTTTTCTCATCTTAGGTTAGAAATCTGTTTTGGTTTTGTATTCCAGCCAAATGGAAAGAATATGATTTTTTTATTATTTGGTCAATGGGTAAAATGGAAAGAATATGATGTTTTTTACTAATTTATTTTTGTCAATGAGCTAGTCACATACAAAGAATATGAATTTTTTCATTCATTTATTTGGTCAATGAATCAAATAGGAAGTATGATGTTTTTATTACTATTTTGTTTAATCTTAAATTTTGTTTGATATGGTTGAGTCAAACCGGGGGAAAAATTCGATTGTGGTTTGGTATTGGAAAAAATCCGATCATAATTGGTTTGGTTTGATTTTAACTAAAAAAAAAAGTCAAGCCGAAATCAACCCAACCCGATAGTACATTTATATAATTTTTAAAAATATTTTATACATATAAATATTTATTGTAATGGTATTTTAAATATTTCTTATAAAATTTCACAGTTTTATCTTTTAAGGTATTATTTCAAGTTTGGACTTAACATTCTTGAATGGTAAATAAATCTTATCGCTCATAAATATAGTAACTCAAACAAAGTTCAAATCAATATTAATGCTAACAAAAGAAATTCAATTCTACACGGGGAATGATGAAGGTGTTGGATATCTATTTTTTAGTTTTACTTTGGTTTATAATGAAAATGCATAACTTAGTTTCTCTTTTTCTTTAGTATTTAGTCATGTAATTAATAGTACTTATTAGCTATACTTGTTTTAGCATGACCTATATAGTATTTTTAGATTATGTTAGTTTTAATTATGACTTATTAATTAGCAATATTTGCTATGCAATTTTATTATCTTTATTAATAAATATTTTAGTATAATACTATGACTTATCTCACATTATTGTGTTATTTTCTTGAAAAATACATTATATAGTTATATTTTACTAGGACTAAAAAAATATATTTGGAGCACAAGTTACATATTTTGTGCTATAAAGACTTTATCGGAAAAAAAAACCCAAAACCCCGAAAAAACCCGAGAACCAAGTTTGAAAAATCTAACTTTGTTAGTTAATTTGGTTTGATATATAGATTTAAAAATCCGACACCATTTGTTTGGTTTGGTAATTGAAAAATGCGAATCAACCCGACCTATGTACACCTCTAATAATTACCATACACAACTTCTTTCCAAAAACTTAGGGCTCGTTTGGCCATAAAAAAATAACTTTCTTTTTGAATTTTTTTTACTTTTTTTTTTTGAAATTACTGTTTTTGCATGACATTTTTAATTTTTACTTCAAAATAAATTTCGAAAATTTGAAAAACTCGAAAAAGTTATTTTTCAAAATTTTACTTCAAATCACTCACAAAAATTTAAAAATAACCTAAAATTGTAATCATTTCTAAATAAAACTTTAATTTTCAAATACCATTTGTACTTGGGTTTTTCTTTTCACTTTTTTTTTCTGGAATGTTATAATACTTATGTCCAAAAGCCCACTTAGTAACCCAGCTTAATAATGAAATATAAAAGATTATATATATATATATATATATATATATATAAAAGAGAGAGATCAAATAAGAAAAAAAACAAATGCACCGATTAAACTTCAACATTCTAGCAGTGATTTCTATGATGAATAACTTACAAATAAATCAAATATTTGTTCGAAGTTGTCCGTGTAGCCATGCAAATGTTTTTTTCTCTCATTTTTCCTATATAGTTTGTATCAGAGAAAGACAAAGTACAATTGCAAAAAAATGAAAGAAGAATTTCGGATTTCATGATTATTTCTAAGAAAATAAGCATAATTGTCATGCATAGAAAACAATCCACTTCCACAATATAGGTGAAATTTGTACATAACTCAAACACCTTATTCATACGAGCCATTCGTTTTCATTAATAGTTCATATATTTAACTATAGTCAAACTTTCTATAACAATATCTTTGTATAACAATCATTCACAATAAAAATCAAATTTTTCAGAACCAATTTTTTATGTTATAGTATAATATATATTCTCTATAACATCACTCACGATAACAACAAAAAGATATCAGAATAAACTAATTGACAGGGGTCTAACTGAAACTTTTACAATGTTAATGGGATGAATTCGTAATTAAAAAAAACTAAACCAAAGGGGTTAGAGTGCAAAAAATTGAAACTTATGGACATCTTATGCAAAACAACCCTTTTAATAATAGTAATAGACAACTCAGCATGCTCTTGGAACATTTTTTTTTTTTTGATTTTTCACTCAATGTTCAGTATTCTTATTGAGATATGATTGAATGCGGATTCACGCTAATAAAGACGATTTTATATCCCCAGCCCGAACCGACGGCTTCTAGTTATATACCTTCTTTTCCACTCTTTCTATTTTTACCCAGGGACGCTTTACTAAATTAATTTATGTTATATTTCAGACACTATTTTGTTTTTTTGTTTATTGCCATAATTTCAACGCAAAAGTAATGTAAAATTAAATGTGGTCGGTACTAATAGGCAGGCCTTTTATTATACGCAAATTAAATACAAAAAACATTTCTTGTTTTACCAAAAATAACATTTTCTATTCACATCGCAACTGTTTATATTTCTTATTCGATTCCATCTGAAATCCCACCAAATTTGGCTTTGAAATTATGGAAGTTTGGATCATTCTTTTATTCTATTTCGACTATTCTTCTTCTGTTCGTGCGTTGTTTTATTTTCTCTACCATGACACATCAATTGATTTAATGTAGGCATCGCTCTTTCCAAAGTCTTTGTCTACTGTTCATCCTTGACTTTCTTTGGAACTCGTTAACATTAAACACCCGCCATGCATGTCACTCAAAGTAACCTACTCAAGCTTTCTTTTCTTTTTTATTGAAGCATTAATTTGAAATTCACACAGTTCCAATAGGATAGGAGAAATGAAATATTGGCACTACTTTATATTATATTAAGATAAGATAACATTTGGTTCAAACAACTTGACTTCTAAACCAACAACTACAATAATCATTTGGTTTACTGTAGTAATAACAACAAAATTTCGGAACAAACAACGTTGTTCTAGGAAGTTTGAATGTACCACAAGTCGATATAAATAGATGCAGTCACATTATGTGCATGGACGATAAAGTATATATAGTAATGCATTTTATAACAAATCATATGATGAATCATTTTTTTCTATTGAACCTAATTTTATTTTTACATTGCGAAATTGGGTTATTGTTGTTGTTGTTGTTGTGGAAAATCTGGAAAGGAATTCCAACTAAGAGCTAAGTTATGCTAAAGGAAGTTAGGAATAATTTTCATTGATAACCCCAAAAATAAAGAACGGGAGCCTTGACGTAACTGGTAAAGTTGTTGCCACGTGACTGGGAGGTTACTGGTTTGAGCCGTAAAAACAGCCTCTTACACAAATGCAGGGTAAGACTACATACGATAGAACCTTACAGTCTTGCCCTTTTCCGGATCCCGTGCGTTGATACCCAATTTTGCCTTTATTTTTTTTCCAAATAGTGTATATATTTTTAAAATGTTGTTTTGCATTTTTATTTAATTTACAAGAATTATACATGTATTTTGCATAACTTTCCGCAATTTTTAGAGTTTAAAATTAATTTTCTTGCATTTAAATTACTTAAATATTTATCAATCATCTCTTTAAATTATTTATGATGACTTGAACATCCGAATTTGTTATTTATACCCAGATACATGTTTTAAATAATTTTCAATTATTTTACATAATTATATTTAAATTTCTAAGTTATCTACCCAATTTTGTTGGAATAACCTATATTCAACACATAATTGCATTTGTTACATTATTTGTGCTAAAATATCATTCCTTATATTTTTATAATATTGAGCTATTATTTTTAAGTTTGTGCTACATAAAAAACATTTTTATCATTTATTAATCATTTTCTATAATTTATTTTTTGATAAATTTCGTGTATTTAAATTATAGCCCATCTTTAAGACAATTTCAGACTAAATTTTGGCCCAAATCCTTAGCCCAGCAGCTCCCAGCACAAGCCAAATGACCCTTTACTAAACCCGGTCGGTACCCATCTCCAAGACCCCCCCCCCCCCCCCCATTCATTTTTTTAATCCTAGTTATTGATCTCTCAAGATCAACGGCCCTCGTTCATTCCCTTCTTTTAATTTGCCCAACTCAGAAACCCTAACCCCATTTCCCTGAGATTACCGCCTCTGTATTCTCTCAACTCCCCCTTTCTCTAAAAAGAAACCCTAGCAGCCACCCTTTCCAATCCCTCTCTTAATCCCGTTGGTAATAGGATTCCACCATTATTTGCTTATCATATCCGTGTTTCTTCGCTACTAGTCACGCATTTATGGCATTACTTAGGTACTTGCCCAATTTTGGCAAGTACCTTCTCTATATCAGACTGGAATCGACCTTCAATCTTGGAGATTTAGACGAAATCTCGTCTATATACATAAAGAAAAGCTTTATTCTTCATATCAGTCGGCCGATTTTGAATTTTAAACCCTAACTAGGGTTTGAAGTTTGATTTCTTTCCTTTTTTGTTACTTTACTAATTGCTTGTGATATTTTACTCTTTCTTGTTCGTATTTGCTTGATTTCTTTCCTTGTTTACTCACCCGATTCAGTATTATATAAACCCCTTTAATGATTCCCTTTAGACAGACCTGATATCACTGCTATTGCACTCAATATATTTCCCTCACCCATTTATCTTCTCTGAAATACTTGGCTCTTTGGTCGGCTAAAAGCCAAGGCCATAATATTATCAACCTCCTCCGGTGCAAGCACTGCTTGGGGCCCTTACGAGGCTCTTGTGAACTCTGAAGCATCGGAGATCTGGAGTTCTTGCTACCAGTATTCTAAGCTCCTTATTATTCTTTTGCTCGTTTAATTTCATTACTGCTTAGTTTCCCTAACTCTTGCGA